ATTGCAGCTGTGCCCTATGACCAGTCTGGGCCTGCTCTTGATGAATGTAGGATGATATGCTAGTTGCATGACTGACATGTTGACCCTTTGATTTCCATCCAAGCCCACTTGACTACATACAGTAGTACTAGCACATTTGGCATCCCTGTCTTTTGTCAGTAGGAATGACAGTACCTACACATGCCTGTTGCATACTGTGGTGAACATCAGGTGGCACCATGACAAGATACTTTACTGGTCACTGGAGTAGAAACCGTTTTATACTCCATTCACACTTGTGCAACTTAAAAATTGTGCGATTTTCATTGAGACTTTATAGTACTTGATACGACTTTGACACTATTTTGATGCGACTTTGGCTTTGAACAAGGATGACTGACCTGTGTAAAGCTGCACACAAGTCACAAACATCACTTTCATGTGACTTTGGAGTTTGGTTTACATTGAATTCTATGGTCCTCATGAACGTCGGACCAAAGTAGTGCAGGAACTACTTTCAAGTCGCAAAGATATGAATGGCACTCTTTGGGAAACATAGGGTGCGACTTGTAATGCAACTTTGGACCCCAAAGTGGCATGACAAGTCATGCAAGTCTGAATGGGCTCTTAATGTATCAAGCATGGTTCCTGTGGCTTAATTGTTACCAAACATCAAGCATAAGGACATAAAAAAAATAAATATATTTACAACGTTTTAAATTCTATTTCTTCCTCCCAGGGGATCAAGTGCATATAGCATTTGGTTGTGTTCAAATCTGTCCCTCGGTTGCGAAGCAGCATTGTTGGGCATCCCCCACCCCAACCCAACTGGCGCTTATTAGAAAGGAGATGGATTTGTGAGTGATAGCTATGGTCTCTGGCAGCAAGGACTGCTCTGGGGACCAGCTTTGCTATTCACGAAGATCACACAGCCTGTGGTTTTTTCTGGCCTTTGAGACCAACGTGAAATAATCAACATTCTCCTATTGCTGAAATTAAAAATGTTCTAAAGTTTATGAATGAATATATCATAGAGTAGCAAATATAATAAATAGTATAGGACTTCTCTCTAAATTGGCTCTAGTATGTGCATGTATGCATGGGAGATGGGGACTTTAGATTGTAAGCTCCTTGAGGCAAGGACAGATGTGAATGTACTGTACATATAAAGCTTTGTGTACATTGTCAGCACTATAGAAATACCTATAATAAGAAAAATAAATATAATTTCAAATAAAAACCTTATTACCTACCAGATTTCTGTGTAATGCCAGACAGAGCTTGAAGCCACAGCCGATGCCCAGGACTGGCAGACCTGGGAGACAGCCCGTCTGTCGGTAAGAGGCAGGTAATAGAACACTTGTATGAGGACATCTGGAGGCATGTACTCCCATTGCTCTGACATTGCCTCTGCTTCCAACTTAACCTGTTTCAAGCAAGAACAAGTATTTTATAGCACCGTCATTAGGATGTTACCAAACATAGTCAACACAGATTTCCGTTCCCTCTTATTGGTCTATTGAGGTTGCACTCCTGAAACGTTTATAGATCTACATACTATATAAAACAATGTTTGTCCTGAAAAGAGATTACTCACGATGGGTGTAAGGTCAGCTAGAGTTAGACAAATAGTGCTGTGTATTGTGCAAGAGGAGTAATCATCCAAGTACAAGGTTGGTTAGTCTTCTAGTAGGGGAATCTCTGTAGACAGGATACAGGTGCGAAAGTAAGGGGGGAGTCAGGGGGGGGTCTGACCCCCCCCCCCAGAGGAGAGTTGCCAACCATCCCTGCAGGCTCCAGCCCTCAAAATTTCCACTGGCCCGCAAGTGGACATAAGGTGGAGGCGGCGAGCAGAGCCAGGGCTAGGGGTGTGTGGGGGGGGCGGCGGTGGGGGGGTGGTGATCTCCTGTATGGCTTTCAATGAAAAAGCTGAAAGCCACGGGAGGGAGAGGAGGAGATGCGGCTTCCACCCCTCCCTTCCTTTCCATCCTTCCACCCCCCCCTCCCTTCCTTCCACCTCCCCTTCCTTCCATCCTTCCCCCCCCCCCCCCTTCATTCCATCCTTCCACCTCCCCCTCCCATCCTTTCACCCCCCCTTCCTTACATCCTTCCACCCCCCCTTCTACCCTTCCACCCCACTCCCTTCCATCCTTCCACCCACCCCTCACTTCCTTCCTACCACCCACCCCTCCATTCCTCCCACCAGTCGCTTCCTTCCTTCCACCCACCCCTTCCTTCCTCCCTTCCTTCCTTCTACCACCCCTCCCTCCCTACCTACCTCCCTTCCTTCCTTCCACCCCTCCTTTCTTCCACCCACCCCTTCCTACCACCCATCCTTCCTTCCACCCCTTCCTTCCACCCACTCCTTCCTGCCTTTCAACCACCCATCCCTTCCATCCAGCTCTTCTTTCCTTCCTTCTATCCACCCCTTCCTTCCACCCACCTTTCCTTTCCTTCCATCCCCCTTCCTTCCACCAATCCCTTCCTTCCTACCACCCACCCCTCCATTCCTCCCAGTCGCTTCCTTCCTTCCACCCACCCTCCTCCCCCTTCCTTCCTTCCTCCCTTCCTTCCACCCACCCCTCCCACCCTCCACCCCCCCTTCCTACCTCCCTTCCCTCCTTCCACCCCTCCCTTCCTCCCCTCCTTTCTTTCACCCACCCCTCACTACCATTCCCTACTATTCTAAAGGGAAGGGAGGCTTCTGATGTGATAGGAAGAGACCTATATGATTGGGGGACTCTGATGGAAAGGGAGGCTTCTGATGTGATACGGAGACACCTATATGATTGGGGGACTCTGATGGAAAGGGAGGCTTTTCATGTGATAAGGAGACACCTATATAATGGGAGTATTCTAAAGGGAAGGAAGGCTTCTGATGTGATAGGGAGACTCTGATAGGGGGGAACTCTAATAGGAAGGGGGGATTCTGAGATGAAGAAGGCACCTCTGATGTAAAGTGGAGCTTCTGATGAAAAGTTATATTCGTTAGGTGGTTGTGTGCATTGTCTCAGGCTCAGGATTCCCACTGATAGGTAACATTTATATTTTTTACATTTTAGACTGGGGTGCCTTCATATTTTGTGTACTTTTAAAGGGTGCGTGATTAAAAAATAGGTTGAGGAATACCCAACCCAAAAGTGATATTTAAAGTGGCTGTATATGTAAATTTTTAAAAAAAATAACAAACAGGTTTATATTTACCAAACCTGCTCTTCTCGGGTCCCCCACTGACGCTCCTGACTCCTCCTCTCGGTTGAGTGCCCCCATAGAAAGTCGCTTCCTGTGGGGTCACTTGTGTGGGCTCACTCCCAAGTCCCGCTGTCTACATCCATAGAAACAGACAGCGGGACAAGGCCCAACCCCCCACTCCTTAGTCACTGGCTTTGATTGACAGCAGCAGAAGCCAATAGCTCCCTCTGTCTCAGCAAAGCCTGTGAGACCTGGAAGTGAGGGGAGAGCAGAGCTGCAAACGTGCACAGCACTGGATCAATTGAGTCCTCAGGTAGTGGGGAAGTATTAATGCCCAAACATTCTTAACCTTAATGCAAGGAATGTATTAAGATAAAAACATATTTATAACCACTTTAAGCAGATAATCATGCCACCCTATGCACTACAGAATGTATAAGCTCCCCACATTATAGAGAAATAATTACCTGTAGAATAACAAGTTTTGTAGTTTTAAAGAGTGGTTCATGTCCTGCTTGGACCCCCCATGAGACAGGAGCCCCCCACTGGCTGTGCTGCTAACCAGCTATTCTTCCACATACTGGCAGCCTATTTATACCGCCTTCACACTTCTGTTAGCAAACCTGGGGACCTCATCAAAGCTTTCCACTCTCCCTCCCCTTTCTTTCTTTTTTTTTTTACATTTCAAAGTGTTTTAATGGGTTAGTATTTCATTATCTGGAACTGGTTTAATGTTTGGCCTGCATCTTTAAGAATGGGCTAGTTTTGTTTTATGGTCTATTTATTGGTGGCTTGCTGTAACTCTAGCCCACTCCTTAAATAAATACTGATACCATTTTAGTCCAATAAATGTTCTTGGTCTTTATGTAAATGTTTTGATGAGCTTCCGGAGGCCCTGCAACCCTTCCACCACACCAAGGATTCTCACTTTTCCTGTTGCATTTTCTGTAATATAAAATACAGTGCGGGCCCATTTACATTTGTGCAGTGTGTTACTGAAACTACATAAATGCTCGTTATGTTACGTGTTAATGTGCATTGGGTTAAAGTGTTATTAAACCCACATTGGAAAAATCAGTCTGTATATGCAGTAAAGAATGCTTGTTATACTCACTGTGGAACCTAAGGGGTTAATCCTCTACATTGTGTAAAAAAGGCTGTTTGATCCTGTCTTCTCTGCCCCTCTTCTTGTTCAAATGTCCACCTGATAAGACAGACTGAACCCATAGCCATTCTGCACATGCTCAGTTTGTGGTGTATTGCTAGAGTTTTGTTTGGGGGGGGGGAGTGCATGTGATCAGCACAGGGCCAATCAGCACTGTCCAGACAGGGGGACAGAGGTTCTGCATCCTCCTAGAACAGAAAGAAAACTCCTCCTTCAAGCTTTAACCAGTGCTCTGCTGAAGTTACAAGACTGCTCCAACTGCTTTGCATTGTGTAAAAAGGCTGTTATCCTATCTTCTCTGATCCTCCCCTTCTACTGTCCCCAATACATTTTCTGATAGTACAGATCTCTAGGAGTCACTCTGCACATGCTCAGTTTAGTGTGTATTGCTTTTCTTTGGGAGGGTGCATGTAATCAGCACAGGGCCATTCAGCATTGTCCAGACAGAGGATCAGGGGTTATGCAGCCTCATAGGACATTCAGAGGAGAATGAAAACTCCTCCTACAAGATTAACCGATGCCCAGCTGGACATTGATACAAGTTACAAGACTGCTCTAACTGCTGATGAAAAAAAAGATATTTAGCAGTTTAAATTTACTAACATAATTGCATTTCCATGTTCTGTGCACTGTGAGAGACCGGATATAGTGAATGCAGGGTCCTGGGACCAGATATAGTGAATGCAGGGTCCGGGGAGACCGGATATAGTGAATGCAGGGTCCGGGGAGACCGGATATAGTGAATGCAGGGTCCGGGGAGACCGGATATAGTGAATGCAGGGTCCGGGGAGACCGGATGTAGTGAATGCAGGGTCCGGGGAGACCGGATATAGTGAATGCAGGGTCCCGGGGAGACCGGATATAGTGAATGCAGGGTCCGGGGAGACCGGATGTAGTGAATGCAGGGTCCGGGGAGACCGGATATAGTGAATGCAGGGTCCGGGGAGACCGGATGTAGTGAATGCAGGGTCCGGGGAGACCGGATATAGTGAATGCAGGGTCCGGGGAGACCGGATGTAGTGAATGCAGGGTCCGGGGAGACCGGATATAGTGAATGCAGGGTCCGGGGAGACCGGATATAGTGACTGCAGGGTCCTAGGAGACCAGATATAGGATGCGGGGTCCTAGGAGGCCAGATATAGTGGATGCAGGGTCCTGGGAGACCAGATATAGTGGATGCGGGGTCCTGGGAGACTAGATATAGTGAATGCGGGGTCCGGGGAGACCAGATATAGTGGATGCGGGGTCCTGGGAGACCAGATATAGTGAATGCGGGGTCCGGGGAGACCAGATATAGTGAATGCAGGGTCCTAGGAGACCAGATATAGTGAATGCAGGGTCCTGGGAGACCAGATATAGTGAATGCAGGGTCCTGGGAGACTAGATACAGTGAATGCAGGGTCCGGGGAGACCAGATATAGTGAATGCAGGGTCCGGGGAGACCAGATATAGTAAATGCAGGGTCCGAGGAGACCAGATATAGTGAATGCAGGGTCCTGGGTTTAGAAACACTTTAAGGCAACCGATTAATATCAATGGGCTGCAAGTGCACCAAAAATTCATGCTACAAAATGTTTACTGCCATGTACCATGGTACAATAACATGTAGTGTAGCAACATATGTAACACGCATTAGCACACGTGCTCCAGCAATGTATAGATGTAAATGAGCCCTAAAAGTTGTAGGTGATTTTGCCTGGTGGCTTCCAGAATTGGATTAAGGCTATGTTCACACTGTTTCTGTTTCTGCAGTGCATTTTGCTATGCAGTTTTGCTTTAAAATGCATAACGCTGCAAAAACGCACGACATGCTTTTCTGCAGCATTTCCATTGAAGTCTATAGAACCAAAAACGCAACTTTTTGCGTTAAAAAAAGTCCCTGACCCTTTCCAAAAAATGCACTGGGTGAAAACACGGAGATGTGAATGTGTCCCATAGGAAACCATGTTAAGTGGACTGTAGTGCGTTTCTGGAAAACACTTAGGGGTGATCCTAGGGTTATACTAAGGGTGCTTTCATGCGGGCGTTCCAGTTTTTTTTCTTCAGTTCAGCCACGTTTTTTCCAAGAAAAAAAGGATGGGTTTACATCCATTTTTTCATCGATTTAGATCCGTTTTCATGCTTTTCATCCGTTTACATCCGTTGACATCCGTTTTTCATCCTTTCCGGGGTTTTTTTTTTGCAGCAGAAAATACGGTTTTCTTCCATTCAAAAAAACAAATGTTAACGGATGCGGACATTAACGGATGTAAAAAAATATTCATCCGTTTACATCCTCAAGTCCATAGAAATACATGAGGGTCTGTTTTTCATCCATAAACTGACAGATGTAAAAATGGACATACGGAACACCCGTGTGAAAGAGGCCTTACTGCTTTTCAAGGCCAAATGTCTTGTGCTGGCAGCACACCTTCCCCCAATTAACTTTCTAGCTTTATGCCAGCCATACATGGGTTGAAATTCAACTGATTTTTCATCCGAAAATCGGACCTAAGAATAATCGGCCGATTTTCGCTCTGTTAGTGGGTCAGTGGCACCGGCCGATTTTCGTGGTTCCTCCCCTTTTTGGTGATCGGGCATGTTGGAAAATTCATGAAAAATGACTGATTTTTGAATGATGGTCACATCGTATGATCGTTTTTCCAAAAAGAATATGCCCATGAGCCATGACCTGGAAGGAACAGAAGTTTCGCCTGTTATATGGGGTGAACTTTAGGACTTGGTTGGCCAGTTTTCAAAATCATTGATGGCACCATCGGATTACCAAGCGAATGACGGTTTCGATTTTTGGACGAAAAATCGTTTGGAATTCGACCCATGTATGGCATGCGTTAGTATCATTCTGATGAGGCCAAACGTCACAGCCTCTTCAGATATGCTGAGGCTGAAAGAGACAGTTGGCCTGCCTCAGTACACCTGGAACTGATGACCCGAAGATATCTGTGGACCAGGTAACTCATTTTCCAACTGCTATTCACATAGAACTTCTTCATTTCAGCCTTCAAAGTTCTCATTTGAATATTTGCTACTACTAGTATGATTCATCATCCACCCCTGCAAACTGTCACCCCACATAGCTGAGTTTAGTTCTAGATCAGGCTAGGTTCACACTACAGCTGTCTCTGAAAAGCTATCTGTGGTGGATCACATTACAGTGGGCAAGTAACCTCCCTGGCGGTATGATTATTTCAGATTTTTGGTGCTGAAAGCGGTACCATTTTTTTGCATGGAAATATGTATTTTTTTTTTATTGTAGGCCTGTCATTTAGGAATAACTCACTGAAATCTGTCCGAACAAGAGTCTAGTAAACATTCCGGATATGATAAAACTTAACACAAAATCCTAAATTATAATTTAATAAATAATCATAAAAAATAATATAATAATAAATTTAATTAAATAATATAATCAAACCAAAAACACTGAAATTTGAAATATAGCGCCAAGTTCGCACATCACTGAGCAAAGTCGCAAAATCGTTTTCAGTGTCTGATGAGGAATTACCCCACGAATCATTATCACTTCTGAAAGTTATTCTGATTTACTATGGCTGTTCTCTAGCCAGTCTAAAACCGCTTTTGACATAAAAGGACGCTTTTTGGACTCCATGGACTTTTCTAAGTTTCCAGGCAGAAAGAACAATCAAAATGCAGGCAGGGGACAGGACAAAGCAGTAGGGACAAAATGTATGTGAAATGTTTTGAAACAGCAATGTTTTACTATGTAATAATAATTTTTAAAAAGATAAAAAAATTTTAAAAATGTAAAATTTGCCGCCGGTTCCGGCGCCTGTACGTCCCGACGTCACAGGGACCGGAACACGGAAGCTGGATGCCGGCATTGGCCGGAGGAGATGGCCGGGAACGCTGCAGGGGATGCATCGCAGGAGCGAAGGACAAGGTAAGCGCTGCAGGGACTCCCTATGCAGCGCCGCATGGTAAGCCCGAGTGTAGCTCGGGGATACCGCTTTTGGTACTGAAACTCTACCCCGAGCTACACTCAGGAATACCGCCAGGGAGGTTAAAGGATCAGTTCACCTTTTCAACAGAAATAATAAATTCAAATTTTGTTTTGCAGGTAAAAAAATGTGCATTTATTATTGTTGTCTGCAGGATCCTGGAAACCATTGCACCAGCGATCAGCAGATCGCTGGTGCCATGCAGGTCTCCTGCAGACCTGTCAGAATATCTGCTTGCTGTACGGGATGTATGAGCAAGCAGATATACTGACAGGAAGAAATCAATGAACTACCACGGCGCTTCACAGTGCCGTGGTAGTTTATTGAGGACTACAAGCTGTCGGGACTTGTAGTCGCTCATGCACAGAATGCTGTGAATGATTGATGCAGGTGGGCGGAGCCCCGCACAGCCACGTTTTTTAAACATTTGACAGCTAGCAGGGAGGGAGAAGATCCCCCGCTAGCTATCAAAGCAGGGATTGGGGGGGAATCGGGGGCCGGCCAGATCGTAACATGTTATACGTCACACCATGAATATGGATGTAACATGTTACGAAAGGTGAACTTATCCTTTAACCACTTCCCGTCCGGCCTATGTATATAAATGGCAGGACGGGAGCAGTACAGGGGCAGGTGGCAGGTTTCTAAACATCCTCCCTGCTTGTGCGGGCTCCCTGGGAGTGCGCAGCACCGCGATCTGGTGCCTGTTGTGTCCGATCGCTGTGCGGGACCTCTGTGTGAGGTCCCGATCATGTGATCACTGATTGGCCAATCAGTGATCACATGAAGAGTAGTAAGCAAGATGTCACTTCTGACATCATTGCTTACTACGTCTGAAATCTGTGAATGATCACAGAGATCACATGGTTCAAGGCTATTCACAACAGCCTTGTACCATATGACAAGCTGTGACCAATCACAGCTCTCACAGTATTTCTCAATGGCTGCAAGAATGCAGCCAGGGAGAAGGTGAGATGATTGCGTTTACAGCCTTTATGGGTATAAAAGCAATCAGTGTTTAAAAAAAAAAAAATCTTCATCACCCCCCACAAGTAGTACAGTGTCACTATGGTGACACTGTACTGCTAGGGTGACAGTATGTAAAAAAAGAAACCTAAATAATAATATAAAAAAATTAAATAAAAATGTACAAAAAATGTTTTGAAAAATTATAATTTTTGGTTATAAACTAGTTTGGCTTATTTGTTTTTTACTAAAAAGATAACTGAATACATTTTGGCCAAGATTTATGAAGAAAGATTATTTATTTTCAAAAACTTTTTTTCAAAATATTTGGACTTTTTCATTTATATATATATAAAAAAAAAATCCCAATGGTGAATAAATACCACCAAAATAACTTTTATCTGTCTCAAACAAATGCTAAAAAATTCATATCGGTACAGTGTTGCATGTCCGCGCAATAGTCATTCAAAGTGTGATAGCGCTGAAAGCTGAAAATTGGCCTGTGCAGGAAGGGGGTAAAAGTGTCCGGACTTGAAGTGATTAAGTAACATGTTACACTCGCATTTAGGATGTAACATGCTACAATGCAGCATCCCTTACCTGCAGGTTGAAATGCTGGTTAGTGAGATAGCTGCTGCCCCAGCCACGAAGGAAACTGCTAACCTGGTTTCCTGCATCTTCTGCTGAGCTCTGCTTCTCTCCCTGGGCTGTTAATAAAAGGGGGGAGGGCTCTGCCCAGACACACAGTCTGCTGCATGGGAAGGAAACACGCAGACAAGCCACAGCAGGTAATCTCCAGCTGCTTACAGATAAGAGAGAAGAGGGAGCTGCTCCACCTCAAAGAGCAAGCCTGGCTGCCTCCAAATCCGCCATGTAGGGAGATTTATGGGACCTGAAAAAGAGAGGACAGCGCCTCTAAGTGCAGTATAGACAATTTATTAGTGAACAATAGATGAACTGCACTTACAAGATAAACAGTTAAAAATACTTAAAATAAAGTGAGCGCTCCTGTAAAACAGTAAAAGTAAGCAGCTAATAGCACTAAAGGAGATCACAACCGCCTCAAGTATAAATAAATAAAGTGCAGCGCTAGAAAACAACAAGCAGATAATTCGATCTAAAAAGTTCGATCTTTAAAATTCGTTATCAAATGTTCGTTAATTATTCGATACAGTAATAAAGTAGGCACAGCTATGAGGAATCCGGAAGAAATGGCAGAAATGCGCACTCACCGACCGCGCATAGGAAATGCGCATGTGTGTATTAAATTCCGCAGATGCCGTTCTCCCTCAGGAAGGGGTGTCATCAAACGATAGTCTGCTGGACTCACAGGACCTCCTTAAGATCGGGATGGATCAACCGGGTAAAGACTCCCTCCAGGTGAAGGCTTCCCTCCTCTGGATGTAGTATGTATTGGAAGCTGC